TACACGGACGCATCCAAATCAATAGAAGGGACTGGCTGTGCCTATTTTCTACCCTCAGGAGGTTCTGAATTTAAGTACAAACTTTCCAAGGAGTTTTCAATTTTCTCGGCGGAATCATTGGCTATACTCGAAGCTTTGAAATATGTTAAAAACTCTTATATTAAAAAATCGTTAATTCTTTCAGACTGCCTTTCAGTTCTACAGAACATAAAAAACACTTTTTTGCCCAAAACATTTAGTAACCCTTATATTTTTCTAATAAAAGATCAATTAAAGCACTTAGTAGACTCTGGCTTTAATATAAAATTTATTTGGGTTAAGGCACATATTGGACTCAAAGATAATGAATATGTAGATTACTTAGCTAAAACCAGTATAATATCAGGCACTTTATTGCCATATTCTTTATGTGTATCAGATGCCATTAGGATATTTAAAAAAAACCAGCTAGCGACATGGAAAGATCAATGGAATCTTTACTGCCTTACAAACCAAACAAGATACACCACTTTACAACCAGTTATTCCACAAACTACTTGGTTTAAGAATTTTAAATCTCCACGTAAATATATAACCACCATAAATAGACTACGCTTTGGACATGCGTGTTATCCAAGTCATTTATATAAAATAAATGTGATTGAAGATGATAATTGCAAACATTGCGGAAAACTGGGTGATCTTGATCACATCTTTTTTGAATGCCCTAAGTTTCAACAGCATTCAAACTCTCTCTACAAAAAATTAATCGAATTTAATATGTATGCACCATTCAATATTCAGTCGCTACTGACGACAGGCTCACAAAATATATATAATATCATTATAGATTTCTTGTCAGACACATGCATGGTTCTATAGAATTTGTACTCGAGCATGAAATTTTTCATGATCGTGTGGAAATTTAGATTTGTATCCTTTGTTTACCCTAAATGTTATAACACCTTATCCGTGGTCCAGTTTTGTTTGTCTACTAAGAATGTCTTGATGGGCCCCTAGACGAGAAGCAAGTGGTTCTGTAAGTTTCCTTGTCGTATATTCTTCTATTAATTATCCGTTAGTTTTCGATTAGGGATAGAGTTGTGCATTTGTCTGATTGGAGAATCTATTGCAACTGGCTGAATGACTAATGTCAATGCCATTAAAAAAAAATAGCTAGATGGTTACGTAACGTACGCCGAGAAATATTAAATGTAAGTGCTGTCCTGTGGTCTGTGAACTGTATGTGTCATTTGTCATCTTAGTTTTAGTTAATGTCATATGTAATTGTCATGTTATTCATTCAAACAAAACAATCAGTGGCGGCTTTTCTTTATGTGCTGCTGAGCTGCAGAACTACCAAACAACCATAGCAAATCTTAATTATTAAAGAATAATTAATATAGTTTTATTTCAAATCTGCCATATTATCATATTAAACATAAACTGTTAATAATAATTCACCAACAACGATGATTAATATTATTTTTTTTACGTATTTACTCCTCTAGTGAAACCGTATAATTTTTTTACGTATTTGGTGCTCCAGTGAAGCAATCTTTTTACGTATTTGCTGCTCCAGTGAAGCCGCGTCGATAACAACCGAAACACTGGCAGCGGTTAAAATGCATTTATTAGGCAAACGGCGATCTTAGCCGATGTGCTTCGGCAATCGGCTGATTAACGGCCTCGGAAATGTGTTTGCGAGCTGCAATTCACGACAGTTATTCGTGACCGTTGCATCTGTGCCGTGTTTAGAAATTCTTAGGTTACAATTTTGTTTTATTTGTTTTGTTCGAGCGTGTTTAAAACAATGGAGTTTCAATTTAAATTAGGTGTAAATAAATTTCAAAAACTTCACTATCAACAACAGTTGATTATAAAAGAACGTGGCCGTCCTATGCCTGATCTTAATATTGAAGTGTCCGGTAAAAGCCGTGGAAAAACATATACGCGTAAATTTAATAAAGACATGTATCTACGAAATCAGTGGATTTGTGGATGTTCCGAAAAAAATGCTTTTTTCTGTTTTCCGTGTGCATTATTCGGCGCAGATAAAGAGGAAAAATTGTGGCGCGAGACAGGAGTGCGGGATCTAGTGCATTTAAGTGAAAAAATAAAGAAGCATGAAAACACGCAAACTCATATGAACAATGAAATGCGATTTGCATTATTTGGGAAACTTAATATACAGGCCCAACTTGACTCTGCTTATTGGATAAATATACAAAAACACAATGAAGAGGTGACGAAAAACAGGTATGTTTTGTCAAAAATAATTGACTGTATAAAATTCTGTGGGGCTTTTGAGCTCGCCTTACGAGGACACGATGAATCTGAAACATCAGATAACCCTGGAATTTTTCGTGGTTTAGTGAATTTTTCTGCTGAACTTGATAAAACACTTAGTGAACACCTTACAAATGCGACAATTTTCAAAGGTACCTCAAAAACAATACAAAATGATATTTTGGATTGCATGCTAGAAGTATACGCTGAGGAGATTTTAAACGAAATCAATGAAGCCCCATTTTTAGCAGTGATAGCTGATGAGACAACGGATGTTTCTATGAAATTTCAAATGGTCATTGTTTTTCGTTATGTAAAAAACGGTGCTCCAGTTGAAAGGTTTTGGACTTTTTTGCTTCCAGAAAAACATGATGCTGAAACCTTAGCTAACACAATTTTGAATGTTTTAGACCCAATATTAAAGAATAACAAAAATAAGCTCATTGCACAAAGTTATGACGGAGCAGCTGTTATGAGTGGGATACATGGCGGAGTGCAAACAATAATTAAGAGAAAATATGAAACTGCTCATTTTGTGCACTGTTACGCCCATCAATTGAATCTAATAATGTCAAGAGCATGTTCTATTAATTCCCAAGTACGCGTATTTTTTGGAGATTTACATGATATACCTGGATTTTTTAGTCATTCACCTCAAAGAATAGCTGTCTTAAATCAAATAGTTGGAAAAAATATTCCTCGTTCAATCCCTACACGCTGGAATTTCAATATTCGTACAGTAAATGTCGTTTACGAATATAGAGACTTTATTATTGAGTGTATGGAGCAACTAGAAGAAGAGTCAAATGCTATTACTTCCAAGGAAGCAAGAGGACTTAGACGTATTCTGGAAGATCAAAATTTTACTTTCTGGCTGACTGTTTTTCATTATATTATGCCACATGTTGACGTTTTGTACAATAATCTTCAAAAAAAGAACATGGACCCAACCGAAGCACAGAAAGCTATACATGTTTTTGAGCAAAGTATTAACAATGTCCGAAATAAAATAGACCCTATCATACATCAAGCTTCAAATTTAAATGCGGCGCCTAGTGTCCAAAAAAGGAAACGCCCAAATAACAGCCAACAGGATCACCGTATTGCCTGTCTAGAAGTTTGTGATGTTATTATAAACAATGCAAAAGAACGGTTTGCATATACAAATCATCTAGTTGCCGCAACACTTTTATCTTCAGAACATTTCGAAAAATATAATAATAAGTTTCCTGAAAATGAATTGGATTTAACTTGTACAGCTTATAACTTCTTTGATAAAAACCGTTTGCGAACAGAACTGTCAGTTTTGTATTCCAATATCGAGTGTAGAACATTAAAAGGTGCAGTGCCTTTACTAAAATTTATAATTTCTAATAATTTAGAGGACACATTAACAGAAACCAAAAAGTTGATACAAATTCTGGTGACTACGCCAATGACCACAGCAGAAGCTGAACGTAGTTTTTCAACTTTAAAACGGATCAAAACATTTTTAAGAAATTCAATGTGCGAAGACAGATTAACAGCCCTTTCCACACTCTCGATAGAAAAAAAGTTCATCGCTTCAATACCGAACTTTAACGATAAAGTAATCGAAAAGTTTGCGACAAAAAAGGACCGGCGTATTAATTTCCAATTTAGAAAAATGCAATAAATGTAAGTTAATCAGATTTTTATAGCATGTCGTTATTAGTTACTATTAATTAGTATTAAAGCTAATTTTATTGTTTTTGTTTTCGTATGTTATTCTATTTCTATTATTTTATATTGACCGTGGTTCATGCAGCACACCCTATAGCAGATGTCACGAGCCGCCACTGAAAACAATGCTAATTTCTTGTATATTAAAACCTAGTTTATAAAGGTTTTACATTTCATTACAATTTAATATACAAGAAATATCAAATATGGATAAGCTACTACGACCAGACAGATTCGATGCAGATCCTAACTCTCCTAGATCGTCTCAAGAATGGATGCATTGGAAAGCTACCTTTGAAAACTTTATTTCCTCTGTGATTGATATCTGCCTTATGAATAGCCATGCCATTTCGTACGGCATTCATTGCGGCCTCTTCGGTCCACTGTGCTCTTTTCCTGGTGTACATATAGGCAAAGCAAAAATATTTTAAAAAGCAATATAGCGAAAAAACAATACCAGTTCCAAAAGAGTATTTATATACAAATAATATTTGGTATATATTATTTAAGTAACTTTATTGTGATTTTATAACTTACCTAAAATTTATAACCGAACTTCGGCACCGTAGTAAACACGTGTCTAGTATACTTCGCGCTGCTGTTTGATATTGCCGACTGAATGGCGTAGACGAATTTGACTGGGAAAGCGATTTACAGTGACATCTAGTGTATAATATCTATATTTAAGAAAATATTTATTGCTGGCCGTATTTGGCGTCACTACCTTAGTTAAATAAGCACAAAATAATATTCGAACATAAATACGAGTTTAGAGTTAAAAATCACCATCTACAGCCGTTTATCTCTTTTAAGAAAGAGTTATTGACTGTTTCGAACCTATGCTGCTAAATAAAATTCTAACTGAAATTATTTTTTTTTAAATGTAGGGTTCATTCTGGCGCCATCTATTATAAATCTAAAAATACTGAATTTTTCACGCTTGGACATGAAAAATCATTTAATACGATTATCAAATGTTTTGAAAACATTAATGGAAAAACTTCTCTTTACACTTTGAGTATTTATTTATTTTAATATAGAGTTTTCTTACCATACAACCTTTCCAGATAGCCTGTATCATTCTGCGCAGTGGCTCGTATATCCTTCTCACTCTTTAATAGATCTTTGTACCTCTCCGACAAGCATTTAATCGTCTCTTCTTCTGTCACTTCCAACTCATTTATTGCGTCGAGCAATTCTAAGTCGCGTGCAAATTTTTGATGTTTGAGTAGCTCTTCTTCAGCTGATTTGATCAAGAAATTGATAGTTTCATCACTTATAGCTAAAAACAGATTAATTGTTTATATTATTATCTTAGAAAGTAAACAAAGAATCGATTACCCAAGAACAACATTTATCAAACTTTAAAATTTCCAAAGAGTCGAAAACGGCACTCTACAAATGGTTTGAAAGGTGCCGGCAATCGCCAATGTGCAGGAAAGCATGTGACACATGAAGAAGAAAAAGTGAGAATCAAACCTACATCATTCGCCACCATAGGCGGATCTACTCCCTTAGGAGCTACCTAGGTCAGGACTATTTTCGGTGAAGAAATTCAATCTATTCGGAAAATTCCGACTGAAAAACAAATTTAGACATCTTTTGTTTTCTAAAACTGCATTGCAGAAGTAGTAATTGACTTACAAGCAAAAGAAAACTACTAAATAAAAGTTTGTTACGTAGATTCTGGAAAGTTTCTTCATGAAAGATGAATATCTTCCAAATAGAAAAAAACTACAACTATGCTAGAAAAAAAGACACAATGAATAATAAAACTGATAAATAGATGTTGAGCATTGCCGACAGTATTAGTTAAAAAAAAGAAGAGCTTAAAATATTTTGCGATGATTACTGTAAACTTTTTTCATGTTTCGTATTGTTTGGGTTTAATACCTCTGTATATTGTTTGTTCTACTAGAGATGCAGTAAATGCCTAAACCCTTGGTATCAAGAAGGAGAAAAATAATGTTAACGTCAGAGCATCAACAACTCACAGCGGATCCTCCTTAACTACTTGCTGATCTATTAGAAATTTATTTTTTTGATAGAATAAAAAATATTTAGACATTTACATGTGCTGATGTCAATCTTTATTTTCTTCTTAGTGGCTTCATATGTCAAGTTTTCCTTCAATGTGGAAATTGTAGAGACGTTGTCAGATCTAAACTCAACTTCTCCTTTCCTGCAATAAAAATTTCTATTTATAAAATTCAATACATTCTTCGTATGTTAAAAGTAGAGAACTATACAGATAGCTGAATTTATTTTTGAGACGTTACCTACTCTTTAAAAAAATTGAAGATAGCGGTACAAAAAGGAGACAACTGTATAGTGTTACTAATTAAATAATTAAAATTAAATAGTTTTATAATAATAGGTGTCTAGCAACAGATGGGAATTGATGACCGAGACCTCCGTATTATCAAAAATTTGTATTGGCATCAATGTGCAAACATACGAGCTGGACACAACACGACGGAGGCAGTGGAAATACGACGTGGAGTGAGGCAAGGATGTATTCTATCGCCACTACTTTTTAATATATACTCCGAATTTATTTTTAAAGAAGCCTTAGTTGAAGATACAGGCATTAAAATCAACGGAATTAATGTCAACAATCTCAGATATGCAGACGACACAGTACTTATTGCCTCCAATGAAGAAGACCTGCAACGACTTATAAATAGGGTAACCGAAGCATGTGATGAATATGGGCTAAAACTTAATATTTCTAAGACAAAATTTATGGTTGTCGGCAAAACGGAGTTACAACTAACGAACATCAGAGCGTATGGAATAGAGTTAGAAAGAGTACACAATATTACCTACTTGGGTGCAAACGTTAACGATAACTGGGATATAAATAAAGAAATAAGAATACGCATTGAAAAGGCCAGAGCCGCCTTTTATAAATTAAAGAAAATTCTAATTAATAGAGATATTACGTTAAATCTTAAAATCAGATTAATACGCTGCTACATATTCTCCACATTGCTGTATGGTATGGAGAGCTGGACCCTTACAGAGACATTAATAAAAAAATTAGAGGCCTTTGAGATGTGAATTTATCGACGAGTATTGCGGATAAGTTGGGTTGATCGAATAAGAAATGAAATAGTTTTACATCGAATGAAAAAGAGCACAGAAATAACAAAAACGATAAAAATTCGGAAGTTACAATATTTCGGTCATGTAATGAGACATCCAGAGAGGTATAACCTTCTACACCTCATAAAACAGGGTAAGATCGACGGAAGGAGAGGCCCAGGCCGACGAAGAACATCCTGGCTACGAAATCTCCGAGAATGGTATCAAGAAACCACCTTTAATTTATTTAGAGCCGCCGTGAATAAGGTTATTATTGCCAGTATGATAGCCAACGTTCGATAATCGGACAGGGCACTGAAAGAAGAAGAAGAAGAGTTTTAAATAATAATTTGAAATAAATGAGTAAATAGATTTAGCATGCCAACAGTTTATTTTTTATTTTTGATGATCTGTAGCTTCTTCTAAATTTATATTTTTTAGTAACTAGACACGCTAAAGATTTAGTAAAAAAATTTTTACCTTTAATAAAAGGAATACTTTTTACCTTTAAAGAAGGTGGTACTTTTTACCGATTATTATAATCACATTGTCAAGGACTGCTTTGACTGCCTACACTGTCAACTAGAAAAACCGAATACTATGATTAAGCAACATTGATGAGTGGTGATCCAACAATCTTCTTTTCAGGTCTGCATTAATTGTCCATATTTCACAGCCATAACAAAGAACTGATTCAACCATCGTTTGCTATATTCTTTTTTGTTCCTTTTGGAAATGTTGCGATCCCACCATAAGAAGTTCAGATATTCTACAATCTTACGTCCCTGATTAATTTGGTTTCTCCCAAGCCGTTCTTATCAATAAGCACCTAAATATTCAAATTTTTCCACTTGTTTGATTTCCACGTACTCGTCTATCAACACTTCAAACCTTGCATCTAAATTGATAACTAAATATTCTGTTTTCTTCATGCTGACTTGTAACCCCCATTTTACATATTTTCTGTATAGACGCTTTATCAAAAATTCTAGATCATAAGAATCTTGAGCTAGGACGACTTGGTCATCCACAAAGTTCAGGGAGAACAGTACGTCATTTCCTATGGGGACTCCCAGTACCTGGCAGTGGTTTTTCCAATTTTGGAGGGCTGCCCCAATATATAAATTAAACAGTAAGGGTGACATACTGGCCTGACAAAAGTCTTGTAGGTGTGCAATAATGTTTTAGAAGACGTTCCGCCAATTTTACCGGTTAGCACTTTCAGGAGATTAAACCACTGTCTCACCCTGTCAAGGGATTCTTGGACGTCAGCCTTCCAATTGAGAGTGACGTCCAAGAATCCCTTGACAGGGCGAGACAGAATTCAAAATACAAGACTTTTGTCAGGCCGATAATCGAATACAAGGCATGCGTTTACCTTACTCTCAAGAGTCACCAACTGAATGCCATAGCAGCTACAGAACGTAGAATGCTAAGATACTGTATGAGAAAAGATTGGTCGTATCCATCAGCCCAGATTCACATATTGGCCAACATCACGCCAATCAAGGACAGAATCCTAACCTTCAGCAGGAAGTATGTCCTAAGAACCATAGCTGGCTCGAACAACCGAGCAAAACGAACATTAAAGACGCCTTGCACACATAGAGGGCAAATACTCACCAGGTATCCCACTAAAAAAGTTCCATTTCCTCCAGCTTAACTTCTACATAACACTGGAACTGAACTTCCTGATGAGTATTTTGAAATTCTTGAAACATTCCCCATCTATTATCGCAGATAAAGACAGCGCGCCAAAAACGCTAATAAAGAGCCGTTCCTACTGTATGGCTAGTAACCCCTGAAATACCTCAACTGGCATGATAGGCAGATCCCACTTCTTTTTGTGCGTTCTTATCGATCACACACATAAGTCACCTTCTTTCCCCCTGCTCCTTAGTAGTCTACTACTTCTTAGCTCGTGCATCTTGACGTTTCTTACACCCCTCACAACTCCGCTTAAAAAAGGAGTCACCCATTCCTTGAAGAGGCTCAGGCCTAAACAAGGTTAAAATTTATGTGTCATGGGTGACATACTGCATCCTTGCCTCAGTCCTTTAGTTACTTTTATTGGCTCTGATAGTCTATTTCCGATTTTTAGGTAAGTAGTGTTGTCCCTGTATACTTCTGTAATTATTTCTAAAAGGTATGGACTAATGCCGAGTTGTTGTAAAGCTTGCTACAATTTAAGTCTTGGAACTGTATCCTAGGCCTTTTCTAGGTCGATAAAGGCTAGATGTACTTCGGTACCAACCGCCATTCTTTTTTCTAATAATTGTTGGAGTATAGACAAGTTATTAGTGCAAGATCTACCAGGTATAAATCCACTTTGGTCTTCGCTAATTAGATGTCCTACATCGTTTTGTATTTTTCTATTTATTTTCTTTCCAAACAATATTCCGAAAGTAGGTAGGATACTTAATCCTCTGTAGCAGTTAGGATTTTTTGAATTACACTTTTTAAAGATGGACACTTGGTGAGCGGTTGTCCATTCAGATGGTACTTTAATTTGTTGGCAGCATTGACTCATTAGAAAAGTTATTCGTTCTATTAGGAGTGGACCTCCTACTTTAAGTAACTCTACAACTATATTGCTAAGTGCTGAAGATCGCCCGTTTTTCATTTTGATTAACGCAGTACGGACCTCGTTGTTAGTAGTATTAATGTTACCATTTGTTTGTCTTTCCATACTGTATTCCTCTCCCATATATTCCAATTTGGACTCGGAGTAAATTTTTATAGTGATTTTCCCATTTTCTATGGGAATTAAGTTGCTTAAGGAGTTATGGGTATTTTTCTTTAGATGAATTATACTTCTCCATGCTTTCGTAGTCTTAGAACCACCAATTACATTTTCAACTTGGACACATTTTTGTTCCCAGAAATTATTTTTTGCTTCTTTTATTCGATTGCCTACTTCTCCGTTTTTCTTTTAATATGTTACCCTATTGCTACATGTTTTATTTGTTAGTCATTTCTTATATATTTGTTTTTTTTTGTATCATTCCTTTTACGTTTTCTGTCATCGATGGTAGTTTGTGGTGTTCTTTGTCGTTGTTCTCTATTCTTAATACTTCGTAAGCATTTTTTTTTATTATCGTTTTGAAGTTGTTGCATTCTTGTTCTACATCCATATTTATTTCCATCTCATTTAGTTCCTTTTCTAATTTAGATTGAAAAAGATGTTTATTACTTGGTTGAAATAAAAGGTGCAATTTATATCTCTGTTTTGTACTGTGTAGTATTATTGTTTCTCTTACTTTCGGTGTTCTGTTTGTAGTATTGTTTAAAGTTTAACAGATTAGCTAAAAGAAAATAGTGATCTGTCCCACAGTTAGATCCTCTTTTTACTCTGCAGTCTTGGAACTTAAATTTTTATTTCTGTCTCATTATTATATAGTCTATGATCTACTTCTGTTGAAGTGAAGGTCGTTTCCAACTGTATTTATGAATATCTTTATGTTGGAACAATACAATTACACTTACAAATAATAAAATATTCTAGCACAAATTATATCTGTCTTGTTTTTAATGTCAAATAGCACATACTTTTAAAAAGCATTTAATTCTCTCTCGAACAGTAGCAAGTTTTATATTTTTGCTCACTAAAGAATCCGTTCGAAAGTTACAGCATTATTTAGCCAATACTGAGATTAATGAATGTAAAATTAAGTAATATGTAAGCAAAGTAATCAAATTAAAGACTTACTGGTAAGTGCATTCCAATACACTGTCCAACAAACTTGACCTGAACCACAATACAGTCTTTTCAGCTATTTGTGGCTTCTCCGGAACTTCTGGCAGACACTGGCTCAACCAAGAATGTATTTCTCCCAAACTAAAAGATCCTTTAATCGTGAGAGCATTAAACGGCCTACAATACAGAAAGAAAAGCGTTAACATAATCATGAATATATGTTTTTGTCTCTTACACAGCACGTCCCGTTGGATAATAGGAGCCATTATCTATCTATATAAAAGGCTAGAACGACGAGTCACACTGTGCCGTAGGGTAACTACGCCACCTAGGAAAGAAATCTGAACTACCAACTGACATAAATAAATGCCATGGAAACCAGGGAGGCACTTTCGCGTTTAACATCCTGTTAAAAGAATGCAGTGACCAAAGAAAAGAGGAATTTGCACGTTTCGTGGAATTCGAAAAGGCATTCGATAAAGTACAGCATGTAAAATTAATGCAAATACTGAAAAATATCGAAATATATGAGAAGGATATTCGTGTCATTAAAAATTTGTACTGGAATCAAAGTGCTATCGTAAAAATTGGAGATAACTGCACCGATGAAATCTCCATACAACAATGAGTCAGACAAGGTTGCATTTTGTCGCCAACTTTGTTTAATGTTTACTCGGACCGGTTGTTTAAAAAGGTACTTGAGAGACAACCATATGGAATAAAAATCAACGGGGAACTACTTAATGTGATTAGATATGCAGACGATACAGTAATTCTGTCAGATAACATTGAAATATAATCAGTGAGTCGTGGAACAATACCCAAGAGATTAAATGTCGAATCGGAAAGGCAAAGAGTGCATTCTTTACTATGAGTTCTGTGTTCAAGAGCCATTACCTCACCCTATAAACAAAAATAAGGCTCCTTAAATGTTATGTGTACTCAGTGCTTCTGTAAGGAGTTAAAACGTGGACATTGAAGGCGGAAACTCTATCAAAACTTCAAGCTTTTGAGCTATAGTCATACAGAAGGAAGGATCTTGAAGATACCATGGACAAACAAAGTCACCAATGAAGAAGTGATGCGGAGGATGAACACAACTGCGGATTTGGTCAACATCGTGAAGGGCCGTAATCTGCAGTACTTGTACCATATAATGAGAAATCAAGGCAGATACGAGCTACTTCAATGCATTTTACAAAGTAAAATTAAAGGAAAAGGGCCCCAGAACGAAGAAGAATATCCTGGTTTGCTAACCTGAGAGCATGGTATAGAAAGACCTCAACACAGCTATTTCGTATAACAACCAACAAAGTCGTCATAGCCAGAATAATCGCCAACGTTCGGAACGGACAGGCACCCTAAGAAGAAGAACATTGAAGGTCTCCAAATTCTGCATGATGGTACTCACGAGGTAGGGGAGGAAATGGACATAAAAATAAACTCAAACAAAACCAAATTTTTAGTGTTTAGTCATGACCCACATCTCGATGCAAAGCTTCAATTAAATGGAATCTAAGTTGAGAAAGTTCACAAAATGACATATTTGGGAACTGTCATAACGGACCAACTATATCCAGACATAGAAATAAACCATAGAATAGCAACGACTAAAACTACTTTTATGAAAATGAAGTCATTTCTTTGAAAATAAGGAAAAAGAACAGGACACAAAATGGACAATGGTAAACGGTAAATGATTAAATCAGTGAAATAAAAATAAGAAAACCATATTACCTGTTGATATCGAATTGATGAAGTCTGTAGTGCAATGATAAGGCTTTGATCTCATATTTGATCACCCTGCTACATTTTGGTTGGACAAGCGGAGTCACGTAAGCTTGTAGCAAGCCTTTCTTACCTTCTACAGTACGTATTTTTAAATCTAGGCGGTTTGTATTGATCTGACATCGATATGTTGCCAATAGAAAGTTGTCGTCCTAAAATTAATCATTGGAGATTGAAATATACAGGAAGATATTTCAAAAAATGGTAGCCTAAGAGACAATATACACTTATTATAATATTACCTGCATTTCTGACTTGCAGTAACTGACGACAGCTGAATTTTTTTCTACATCCAACAAATCGATTTCTGTGTTGCATTGTAGAAGGATATTGTCTATAGCAGTTGGTACTTCAATTGATAAATTGTAAGTCGAAGTATTTTTGTCTAAAACAAACTAAAACCAAATTTAATAGCTGCAACTGTCAAACTTCGATTAAAAGCTGCCCCTATAGATCTAGAATTTCGGATTTTCTAGTAGATTTGACCTTCACGTCGCTTGGTAGCTGTTCAGAGACCAGTAGGTTCTCATAATATAAGCCCCCCAATGCTGCCTTCGATTGGATTAGTATTAGCAATTATACTTATTAGTACGAATTATTTGGTTAGCGAGAATTATTAATATGATTTGTAATTGTAATATTTGTATTTAACTGAGTTTTTGAATTAAATATAGTTCGATATTTAAAAGTATAAATATAGGTGTATCAGTGTATAGAAGACAATTCTAAACTGCTGCACAAAATAATGTATAAACATTTGAATAGAAGGCAGCAGCTCTCATATTAGCATTTCAAGGTGCGGCTGTTAAAATTCTTCATTCCAGACATTCCAGATGACGCACAAAATAACTATGGGACCATTGTATCGACTCTTTAACTAATATATGGCAGGCAATATTTGAAGCAAGGAAAAACTCTAGACTGAGAAGAAGAAAGATAGAAACTATCTAAAGCTAGTCCGTAATCAGAAGGATCCAGGACTAAACCGAGCATAAGAAAGATCCAGATGTTTGTCAGGTTTCTTACTTTCTTTTATTTCATTAAATTATGGGTGTCGGTAAGAATGGCCAAAGCTGTTGGAATAGGACGAACCTCATATGCTGTAATAAAACTTGACATAACAGGAATTGGTTCTTGAAAATCCAACTTAGCTTCTGGTGTGGAAGATGACGTTAAACTAGAACATGAAGTCTTAGGGTCTGTTTCGGAAGCATCACAATGTTGTGGATTGGGGTCAGAATAAACAGGAAGGGTTAATGAAGGGTTATGTTAGATGGCAAAAAGTCTTGTCCAGTAAAAATATCACTGTTTAAAGGTATAGACCTGATACTTAAAAGCCCTTGGTTATATTGTTTGGACTAAATACCTTTAAGTATGCCGTACTTGCCAAGTCTGCTACGTCGTAAATGGTAAATGGTAACTGGTTTCCCTGTGTTACCAGGAGAACTCACTCAATTAGTCATTGCATTATTGTAGAAAGACTTAAAGGGTCCAGAAACAGATAAATCGAGAAGTTGCTTGATTGCCATACATCAGTGTGATGTATGGGGATGAAAAGTAACTAAAATGACTCCCGAACGCTTTACCAAGTTATTAGTGGGTATGGAAACATGGCTTTCATGGTTATCTAACAATGAAATAACCTTATCCTGCAAACTAGGTTTAACATGTGATATGAAATGTTCTAGGAATTTAAAAATACATCTTCATTGGACCATCCACTCGGATTTGCAGCTCCTATTGCTCCAGGTGGTGCCCCTTTGAACATCTGGCTTTTAAAATTCACTCTCGTAAACACAAATAAAGGCGGTATTTCCAGTAGCATTAATACAACATATCACAGTAACTAGAACACCTCTTTCTCCAGATGTATTTCCTCCTATCTGCCTTTGTCCTTTTGGTGCTACAATTTTAGGAGGTTGCTGCACCTGGTTCAAAGTTTCCTTTACTCAACGCATTTTTATATAATTGAAAGAAAATAGCAACTGTTTCTTTATTGAGTGCAGTTGCTCTGGCCAAACTTGTACCCTCGGGTTTTTTAAGTGACAGAGATTCAGAATGTCTATTTCGGAAACCTCTAAGCCAATTATTTCCTGCTTCTTTTGTAGCAGGATAATTATCCTGCTATCCTGCTTGCTGGGATAAATTATCCCAGCAAGCAGGATATTTTTTTTATTTTGCTTTGCACATTCATGTCAGTTTTTTAACGATTATCAAACTTGGGCCATAATGCATTTTAGCAGCTGTTTTTAAATAGATTACCAGCTCCGTTTCCTCGGCTTCATTAAAAACTTGCTTGACTTTATAATTCGGACTGTATATAAAATTTTTTTGACCTGATGTTTTAAAATTTTTAATGTGTCTTTGACACATCTTTGACACTTCAGACTTTGCAATTCCAAATTGGCTCGCTGAGGCACGAATTGAAAGACTTGAATTTAAAACTTCACGAACAGAATTCTCTACATTGACTTTTAAAGGTCCCGGTCTTCTCTTCTTTTCTTTACTTCTTGGCATAATGAGCTCCTGAAACAAAATATTGTTTGGTACTAATACTTTTAATAATGTAACTGGGGACGGTCCCAGGTACAACAGGGGGACTCCCCGCATAAAAGCAATCGAATAAGTCGTTAGCCACAACAAATACAACGGTTTGATTAGTAGATTAGGTAGTCTAAATTACGATAAATATAACCCTAACATGATTATTTACTACAGTCAAGTTGATAATTTGCAATAAGACGAAACAGCCGGTAAAAATACTTACTTTGGACGTCAAAAAATACAAAATGGTCACAGCTTGTGTTAACACTTGACGAACATGTGCACAACTGAATACCATAGAGAGGGACACTGTTGCCGATATGTTTTGTAAATCTAAGGTTTATCTGATATTTTGTTTGGCGTTAATTTAGCCTGTCCCTAGGTACAACCTTCCCTAGGTACAGCATGTTCCCCTACAACTGATGTCACGGAGAAACCCAAAGGTCGTCAACTAGAACAGACTGTCTTTATGAAAGACCTGGTTCATTTAAGTGCTGTTCGGGACAAACAGCCTAAAAGAAGGGGCAATGTTATGTGCGCGTAACTAAGCGAAATAATATAACTAACTATAATAATAACTAAATAAATAACAGCGAAACTCTTATATACGAATGAGATACTTGTTATTTAGATATTTAGTTATTATTCAGTAAGTTTTTGTAGTAAAATTAGAAAAACTTCGTTTACTTCACTTTCTCCGTGAACTTACAGAAGAATGTAACAATATTATATGCTTACCGAATCTTTTACCATCAGTAAAGGAATGGCTGACACTTCATTAAAGTAGATATGTGTTGAAGATAGCTGGTATTTTTCTCTTTCCTTTTGAATTTTTCCTTTTAGTTCTTCGATATCTGCCCTACAAATGATATAAAGGTTTTTATAGTTTTATATAACGTTTGGGACATAAGTATTAAGATAAATTAAACTGGTTTAATTAACATATATATCTACACAATTCAGAATAAAATGGAAACATATAAATATATAAATGAAATGGATAAAAATTGACTAATAACCAAATATTTACTTAAGAAGTGAAAAGAAGAAATTTATAACGCCCCTTGAAAATATCGAAGGGCAGTTTACACTAGAACAAGAAAAAATACCTGATCCCTGAAATGACGAAGAAGAAAACCAATATATAAATAAATGTTTTAAATAATTCTAGAAATAAGTCTTTTTCTTCTTCAGCTTATCTTAGCCCACTGCTGAACATAGGCTTGATCCATTTGTTTCCATTGATGTCTACTCTTAGCAATAATCCTTCAATGCTTACCCACAGTATGGTTAGTATCATCTGTTTAACGCTTCTGCGGCCTGCCGAGTCCTCGTCTGTTCTCTCTAGTTCTCCAGTTTTTTTTATCTACGTTCACTTTTCAGGGATTTCCCGAGCAACAAGACCGACTCATTGCCACTTGAGCCTCACTATGTTCCATTTACTATATTTCACCACATTAGTCATTTTTTCTTAGCTTACTCCATCGCTCTTTGAGTTGTACTGAGCTGTTCTAAAGCTTTTCTTTTCTGTAAAGACTATGGTCTCTAGCTTGTGCGTAGTCATTGGTAAGATACACTTGTCATAAACTCTATGCTTTAGACATATTAGTTCATTTTTGTTCTTCAAAATATAGCTTAAATTGCCGAAAGCTACCCAATAGATAGATCTCAAGGATTCATTGATTCAAGATCATTGATTCGTTCTCTAAGGACGTAAGATGTTAAAAAACTGGAATAAACACAATTTGAACATAAAATATGGACACTTAACTTTACGATCTTCTACTTACTTTAGTTTAAATATTTTCTGAGACGTGTCAGCAGAAGATATATATCCAGCTGTGGAATTATCAATATTTGTTTCTATAGTTTGAGTAGTAAGTCCGAAGACTCTGCCTGTATAGGTAACGACCAATATTTCATCGTATCCTGTCGTTGCTACCACGCCACATTGTAGTGAACTTACACTTTCATTACAGTTCTATAAAAAAACATCATTTTATTTAAGTATTTTTCAAATTTGATTTTGGGGTTTTTATTTATTTCATATCAAAAGCGTCTTAACATCGATTAGAATTTAATTTACATACATATATAAATAAGCGAAATACAAACATTCTAACATGATGTATATATCAAAAACCTAAGCATTAAATCATATTATGATCAAATTGTTATTTGACTAAAACTTGGCGACTTGAATGGCATTTCCCTTCGCCAGCAGGAGGTTTTCGAATGTACATGTCGCTGGACAATGTGAGCACCCAGGTAGTTTAATTTAGTCAAATTATCTTTGGTATTGCCCACTCCACTTCTGAGTCTACTTTTAAGCTTTTTCATACCTTCCAAATTTGCCAGGTGGTAAGATTTCAAAACGTATTTTAGAGTGGAAACAAAGACAAGAAGCAATACGGAGCAAAAGACGCCCACCAACTGGATGGACTGACGACCTGAAGCGTGTTAGCAATAACTGGATGCAAGCTGTACAAGAAAAGACAGATGAAAAGAGCTAAGGGAGACCTATGTCCAGTAGTGGACGCATACAGGTTGATGATGATGAAGGTTTCTGTAGGATGACTTCATTGTGTTAGGTGGCGTTGCTTATCCTTCCACATATCTATCTTTGCTCTGCCTGGCTGGATGTCTAATGACATCGAACTATATAGGAAACTCTTTCTCGATTTTAGTCGACTTCTTAGTGGCTGGTGTCTGTATAGTGGACGAGTTTCATTCGGTTCCATCTGTTTTCTTTCGTTGTTTGCTGCAGTACTACGCCCAATTCTTGGGGGAGCTATGCCGGTCAACTATTAAAGCCTTTCTATTGGTACTGGTCTTAAGCACCCGTAATTATTTTGCAGGTCTCGATTAGTGATGTATCTACTTGCTTAGCTTGTGGAGATTTTTGCCAGACCTGGAAAGCATATTCTGCTGCAAAGTAACATAGGGCCACTACTGAGGTTCTAACACCGACGGATTCGTCCCCCATTTACTTTCAGTAAGCTTTCGTTTGATGTTACAGACAACTATTTTATTCTTTGTTTTTATGCAGTACGCTTCTTATATGAGGGTACGGTCCAGGGTAACTCCCCGGTATTTTGGGTAGATAGTTAGATTAGTTATAAAGGATAGAGGGATTATAAGGATAGAGGGAAGGAAAAAGAGAATCGGGAAGACGACTTGCCTAGCTACATACTGCAATAATACATAAGGCAATAAAGAAATCCTTCATCTCATGAACTAAAGAATATCTTAAAGATAAATGCAAATAAAAACACAATGCGATACAACATCAAATCCGATGTAAAATCAGAATGACAAAAGACACTTTTAAAATGGAAGGTGCGAAGAAATTAATCAATCTGAAATGAAATCAAAAGAAATGATCAATCTGAAGGGGAAAATGTTACCTTGGAGCCTTCATTTTATAATACATCATAAAAATGAAGCAGTTTTGATATAAAGTTGTTAATAATCTCATAATTAACTGTCCAATATTAACGCCAAGGTTAAATGTTCCATGGAGAATGCTTCTTTGTGTCAGTTTGTTACCCTTAATAAGTCGTGAAATGCGCAGAGCATAATATGAAAGAAGATTCAATGGTAATTTGGTCTATAGTAGTAAGCCGCACACCAGATGTTAGAAAACCTACATCTATTACAGCTATTAATCTATTACAGGCATATAATATAAATACTTCTCTACTTACATATTTATATATCAATTTAGAGTCTACCAGCGGTTCTTGAATATTCACTTGATATACTTCTATAGATCCATCTTGTCTACCAACAACGAGCTGATTAGCTTCACTTCCGTTTAGATCATAACTGTCTAAGGCACATACAGAACTATTGTTCTCAATATTTGTCACAAGCCAACGTTGGAAACCCTGCAAACTACACAAAATACAATATTTTCAATTGTTGTTGCACTTCGTACATCACGAGAAAATTAAATAAAAATGTGAATAAAATTAAACAATTGAATACTGAGTAAAGCAAATGACAAAATAATTACAAGGAAATATTTTTTTTTACAATAAAATATACTTGTTTCAAAGAAAACTAATTTACGAAAAACTTTTGCAATGATGCAATATTCTTAATAAGGTTTGGAACACTAGCAATTTTTCAAAACAAAACTAGATATATGAAACATTTTACTTTTCTACATCTAAGATGCCAACACGACCATCAGCGGTACCAAAAAGAACTGCCTCAGACTCTTCGTATTGATAAATATGAAGAATGGTGGGAGAACTCTCAACTTCCATGCTTACAGTCACTCTAGCGTGTTCCAAAACTCTGATCATTCTTCCTTCACATGCTATTAGAGATGTTAGTCTTCGACTCTGAAAATAAATAAAAGAAAAATAATTTTAACGTTGAAATGATGGCCATACATGTTTGAAAATAAAGCAGAATAGTCTGATTTTTCCCTCGATTGATCATCATCTATGCTCTAATGTATGGGTAGATGTATGCCATAGAGACTTTCAAACTACTGCGGAAACATAATTTCATTATATAATAATAATTTTCTGAGCTTTTTGAAGTTTTTTAATTTAAATGAATAAAATGTGTCCAGAGGGTAACTTACATTTTTGCTTTGGAAAGCTATAACATCAACTATTCTGTCACCACAAAGGTAGGATCCACTATCCTTGCAGTCTTTGAAGTGGGTATAGATATGTTTACCACAAAGAAATAGGTCATTTCCTAGTACAAACCTAAAAATAGATTGAATTATACAAAGATAAAAAATGAGCATCATTATTCAGCCTCAAAAATCCACTGCTGAACATAGGCCTCTGCCTTATGTTTCCAACCCCGTCTATAATTACACCGCTCTCATCCAGTTTTTATGTAGCCTTCTTAAATCAACCCATCGTGTAGTGTAGGTGGTCGACCGACGCTTCTCTTGTCTTCCGTTAGCCTCCATTCCAATAACCTCTTTGTCCATCGTCCATCTTCATTCTAGCTATGTGTCCTGCCCATCTCCATTTTAGTCTAACTATTCTTTCGGTGACGTCAGTTACTTTGGTTCTTCTTCTTATCTCTTCGTTTTTAATTTTGTATTGCAGAGTTATTCGTAACATAGATCGCTTCATTCTTCTCTGTGCGACTCAGTTTGGTAATCGAGGTTTTTGTTAAGGTAAGTGGTTTTGCTCAGGATATCAAAACTGGGAGGATGCATTGATCAAATACTTTTCATTTCAGGCATGTGGTCAGTTCACTTTTAAAAGTTTCTCTCAGTTTTCCATGTGCTGCCCACCCAAGACCGATTTTTACCTTCTGGTTGGGCATAAAATTGATCATTTAATTGTTTTCGAGATGTTTATCTTTAAACCTACATTTTCTGTAGTCACAACGAGTTCCTGTAACATTTCTCTTGCCATTCCTAGATCCTACGCTATTATGACTATATCGTCGGCGAAACGTAAGTTGTTTAGATATTCTCCATATATTTTTATTTTCTTTGTCAGGTAATCCAAATATGTATTATAGTATTTTGCTTAGCACAACTGTGTCAAAGGCAATGTGAAAAGCAATAAATATTAGCACTAGAGTTATATTGTATTCCACTATTTTCCCTATTAGAGTTTTATGCTTTATAGATGGTCATTAGTTCCATAACTTTTTCGGAATCCTACCTATTCTCTTGCTTATTAAGTCTCTAATTTTCTTTTCATTCTTTTGTCTATTATTCGCATAAACGACAAAAAAGATACACAGAACCCAACTAAAATATATTTCAATCTGATTTAAATAATAATAAATATTACACCATAAAAGACTCTTAGTCATAACATATATCCATTTTACCTTTTTCCACTTATCGATTTTTACTTCTGTCAATTCATTAACGTCAGTGTCCCGTTTTACGTTCTGGTAACTTTTTTATATATTTTACAATAACGTTTTGTACCTAATCTGGTACATTTTAGAATATTGACAAAGGCAAGGGTTTCCTGTCGAAATGTTGATTTCAGTGGACAATAAAATCTAGTTCCAAATTTAATATTATTAAACCTAACTTTGAACCTAAACCCAATTACCAATTTTATATTGCAGTATTTCTATTTTCTTTTGTATGCATTAAAACACCAAAGAATATTTTCAATGTATTTCTATTTCCTATCGTATATGTTAAAACACCGAAAACGTATTTTCAATCCTTTTGCATCGCTGGAATTGATAATAAACACATTTTAAGGCTCATCCTCGATAATCCTAACGGTAAATTTCAGTTTGCTATCTCTATTTCAAAAATTTCTTTCTTTACGAAAACAAATCTGTCATGAAGTAATATTCTAAACTTCGTATCTCTCTCAAGCCCAGGTCAAAAATGCGTTTACCTTTTACTCGAGCCGATTATACACCGAGACAACCTCTGCAGTGACAGGTTTTGGCTTACAATCAGACCATAAATCTCTTTAGTGGTCTTTTGAGTAAATATAACAACAGATCAAAGTAATATAATCTATTCATAAATTTACAATGTAACAAATGTACATACATAATTTATTTGTTATTTTTTTTACGGAAAAAATGGCTGTCTGAAGTTTAACGTAGATTAAAGTTTACGGAAAATAAAAATTATAAAAAAATAGTACATTGTTTACCGGGTAGGAAAAGCTTAACATTCCTGGACGACTGTGAAGATTGCTAAGTCGAGGCGCAAGCCGAGACTTAGCAACACAGAGTCCAGGAATGTGGCTTTTCCTACGAGGTAAACATACCAATTTTCCGCAAATCGTTTAAAATTCGACAGATATTGATTGATTTAAAAAAACGCGATAATTTTATTCCCAAATAAATGGTGCTTTGAAATTCCTAATAAAATTACTTGGGTTACTATGGAAACGTATTGAGGTTGAATTGTCAAACTTGACGCTTATAAACTTAATTGCTGGTTAACACTAACAACTGTACGGAAATATCATTTCCTTACAGTAAGGAAATGACATTTCCTGACAGTAAGGAAGTCCTGACTTTTTCTTCAAGAAATTTTGACAGGAATGTCAAAATTTCCTGGCGATTTGCGGAAAAGATTATTATTATATATCATAAAAATTTGATTAGTATCGCGATCATTAAAATTGATAAAATGAAACGATATAAATATAGAATTATGTCTAATGTTTCTTCAGAAACATTAGACATAATTCTAGTAATAGAAATCAGTTCTTTTTAAAATTTCTTGAAGGAAGGAATAATTTAATTACGCTATCATTTCCAATTTTGATTTTTGATATTGAATTTGATAGGTTGTGATTTATTACACCAAAATCTAATAAAATATACCATGACACAAGAAATAGTTTCAGAATAAGTTTGATGTGTTGTTTATTATCATTCAGTAAGAGACTAATTTACTTCTTACAATGCTAATCTAACAGACAATTATTATTGTCAAATGAAAGAAATAAGATAATTTACTTGTGTGCTTGTGGTTAGTAAACGTCGGCCCTATGCAACTAATTGTCAATAAAGAACGGAGTACAAAAGTTTAGATTTATGAGATTTATGAGGAGCATTAATGAAACTTAGATGTATACTGAGTACTTATTTCAAAAATTTACAACTAAGAATTTAATTTGTTATATGTAAATATACTCCTAGATCTAGAGAAAATGGGAGTGCGACAATGGGAATTACTGGCACAGGACCGACAAACATGGAAGGCAATAGTAACCGCGGCCAGGCCCGTTCCTAGGGTAGTGAGCGCCTGCGTGCAGGATTTTTTGTGCGCCCCCATATTATGTTTTTAAGATACCTATATTATAACATGTTCTTGTGATATGATTGAAAATATGATATGAATGTAAAAAGAAAAATAAAACGAATCATGTTTGAAAAAAAGGCCTTTTTAAAGCAATATTATTATGTAAGTTAACAGTAAGAAAGAAAACACTCAATTCGCAAATTAATAAGGCATTCTGGAATATAACATGAAACAATAACGGAAAGGAGATACTCTCAATGCAAAAAAACTTTTGTTTACCAAGTGAAAAATAAAACAAATATTGGAATTACAACATGACACGTCGTGCTTTCACAGATGCAAGCTAATTAATCATTTCATTGTGATCAATGGCTTTACAAATTTTACTTTCAATTGAAATGACTGCCAAATCTGATAGCCTTTCTTGGCACATTGACGTTCTTAAATAATTTTTTAGGAGCTTTAGCTTTGAAAAACTCCTTTCGCCAGATGCCACCGAAATTGGAAGGGTCAGGAATATTCTCAAGGCTATAAATATATTTGGAAACAAGGATTGTAAATTTTTCTTTATTATATAATTTAAAATATCTATGGGCGAATCCGAAATTTTGCCAGAGTCTGTGATTGGGTTAAGAACTTTGTATGACAGAATTTCATTATGCAAATCAAGACCATCAATATCTTTGCATACGTTTCCTGCATGTTGAATTTGTAAAGCTAAATCCAAATCCATACATGATCTTTTAATCACATCAGAATCTAGATTTTGAAAATTACCCAAAAATCCAAATAAATCGTGTAACTTATCTATTCCCCCAAAGCGTCTTTGTAGGGATTGAATTGTGTCCAAAATTTGAAAATAAAAACTGATCTTAAATTTTTGTTTTGGATCGAATACTGTTTCATCTGTACCTTCATACGAAAATTGAAGCTTCGTCTTTCTTTGTCTTAATGGAAATGTTTGCTCTACATCACTTTTTTCTGCTTCTGCTACAGCCTCATTCATGAAAATCTCGAAATGTTTGTCTAACCTTTTTTTAGTGAAATAAATAATAAAATTTTTTATTTCTGTATGGCATTCATTTTAAAGTTGTATTTGGATTCTGGACCATTTTACTTACTATATTAATTTTTGTTAACACATCATGCCAAATTATAATAGAAAATATAAATTTGAACGTTTTAGTTTTGTCTAATAGTGACCTTACTGAATGTTTCGTGTTCATATCTCTTGAATTATCTTCCACCAAATCATGTAAATTTTTCCACATTTCGAGGAATTGAAACCTAAGAGGGCGAATGGCTTTGACTCTGCTTTCTCATCGTGTTTCACTTACTGATTTTAAAGTTAAGTTTGGTACATTCCTTTTTAAAATGTCCCATCTGTAGGGTGAATAATTGAAAAAAAAAGAAAAAAAATTGAACAACTCCTGAATAATTGAAAAAAAAACTTGCAGTTTCACATGAAATTTTAGCTGCATCATTGACACTTAAATTAAAAGTGTGAGCTGAACAAGGCAAAAACATTGCTCTGGGATTAATTTTTAGAATCTGAGCTTGAAGGCCCACATGCTTACCAGACATATTTGCCCCATTGTCGTAACCCTGACCTCTCATGTTATCAAGGTTTATTTCAAATTTTGATAATATTTCTTCTTTTAAAAAATTGAAAAGCCCTTCTCCTGTAGTATTTAAAACTTTGAAAAAACCCAGAAAGTGTTCTCTAATTTCGACTTCATATGGAGAACAATAAACGAAGTGAATTATGACCGTCAGCTGCTCAACATCGATACAACTGGAGATTCATCCAAAATAATTGAGTAATATTTTGCTGTTCTGGGCAGAAATTAAACAGGTAATCAATTTTTATCTGAAAATCAGAACAGTCACAAAAGGTGAACTTTCCAACTCTCAAAAATGTCATAAGAGATATTTTACGTATATGGTTGTAAATAATAGTATATTATATACATTCACAATATATAACTGAGTTTAAGTGTTTAATTCTTAACAAGAGAAAAACATGGTTTACCGAGGCGTACTCGGTGTATATAACAATATATACACTGAGTTTAAGTGTTTAATTCTTAACAAGAGAAAAACATGGTTTACCGAGGCGTATAGCGTCGAGACAGGAATGAAATTTTTTCACCGAGGTTTGTAAGTATAGGTACTGTTTTATTCAGAACCATATCTTTTAAATGCAAATTAAAAAAAAATCTAATAAAATTTAAACAAACATTTTGGTTATTCGTAGGATGTTAAAATTTACCTGGGTGGAAAATTAATGTCATACACTTTTCATCCGGGTAAATGTCACTTTCCTCCTGGATAGATTTTAAAACTAGAAATTTGGTTTTTCAAACTTTTATAAAAGGTCTTCAATGTCAACATAACATACATGGTTGTAAATAAACATTGATACTTAACTGACCCGAAGAATAATTTTAAGGTTCTTAAACTGTTAAATTTTACTACTTTACTTTATTTTTTTACTTTACTTTACTTTTTATTTTATTTAAATAAATAAGTTAACTTATTTTACTTACTTTAAGCAGTTTATTTGCCGCCTTAAACTTAAAATTTACAATAAACTTAATGTATTTACAATAAACTTTAATGACAATGATATTGCGAACAGAACATCCTAACCCTTAAGACAAAATCTAACGACTGAATTAAAACGTTACGGTTTGCTGCGCAAACGACAAATTCGTCAGAGGCGGGCGCATCGCGCAACTTTTCTTGAGACAACCACGCGGGCGGCATGCCGGAAACACAAAACATTAAAACTGAGTGGTGTGCGGCATTAGATGGCGCGTCGTATGCTGACACTAATAAAATTGTAGGGTGGTAATTTAATTAGTAATCTTGGTATTATAATAGTGAATAGCAAACGGATGAAGTGATTTAGCGCTTACCGGGGAAATACTGAACACTGACTTTTTTTTGTTTTAGAAGTAAGAATATTTTTGTAACGGTAACCAAATATTTGGCGCCCCTAAAATTTAGCGCCTGCGTGCGGGGCACTCATTGCATACCCGCCAGGAACGGCCCTGACCGCGGCAAAGACTTACGAAGAGTTGTAGCGCCATTGATGATGATGATGATGATGATGAAATATACTGTATAACTATTTATATGGATGTGAAATATGGATCATGAAGGATAATATGATGGACGTTATAGGATGTACGTTGAAAAATTAAGGCAAATATCGAGCACAAATTTAATAATCAAATCTTGCAAAAGTACTTTCGCTTTCTACAGCATCATCAGTGGCATCTGAAATAAGCCAAGAAAAGTTTTTTTTAAATGAAGAAAATTAATAAACTTCGATAAAAAACTCGAAGTTAATGGATGATAAAAGTTTTTTGTGATTAACATTTTAGACTTACTTCGTCAAGTTTGGGCTATCCAGCAAGCGCAGATGACCCTGATGATGCTGTAGAAAGCGAAAGTACTTGGGCAAGATTTGATTATTAAATTTGTGCTCGAAATTTGCCTTCATTTTTTAAAGTTCATTTATTCGAGCATTCAACCTTATATCAATACTTTAGGATGTGACTCAGGTATATGATAAAGTATGGCAAAGACGCCATAACTATAAACTAAGACTACATTTACCAAAACGATACTCTCAAATAATTGACTCCTGCATCTTGGAAAGATATTTCAGAATTAAACAGGAAGAAACATACATGGAATTGACAGATATTACAGCAGGGCTGCCACAAAGAAGTGTCTTTACCTTTTGTATACGTGTTGTATTATTGTCCAAGAAAATATACAATTGCAACATTTACCGAAGATATTGCTATCATAGCAATGTGCAAAACCAGCAAGGAAGCGACAAAGAAATTACACAGATGTTAATCAAATATATACTCAAGGGAAATAAGCAAAAAATAGACCATGTTCGTGACACTCAATAATCCAGGTCGCTGACAATTTTTTTAGTTATTGTAGACCTCTAGGAAAAAAACCTACTTGTTTCTTGCCTTGAATCTGGAGCTGTTTTTTAATGATTGACAATTTAATGCAAAAAACGCGACTGTTTCTATGATTATTGATACTAGTATTAAAAAAAATAGATTTTTGGAAGAAAATTGTTTTGCACGAATTGTTTAAACAAACTAGACTATTTATTAATTAATTAATATATAAACAAATTACTAATTCCAAATGTACGTAGAAATTACATACAAATTAAAAAAAGAATGATCAAAATCCATTGAGTAGATCCGAAAATATAGAAAATTTTATTAGTTTGAAATTGCTTGTTCGGTATGGATTTGTATGTTCTTCCTAGTCACCATTTGAACTACATTTTTGAAAATTCGTAGAGGGTCCTGTAAAGGTACAATGTTTGTGCAAATTTTTTAACAAAAAATACAAATCCTATTCCTTAACATGGCAAAAATGAGGTTCCCTAATTATTATAATCAAATTAGCTGTGAATTATAATCTTTTCTTTGACTTGATCTACTACTTGTTGTAATTGGTCGTAAAACACTTCCCTTGTTGTTTGAGGCTTATTATTTTCTGGGCCGTATACTCCGATAATGTTCAGGTTTTCCTTCTCCATTCTTATCTTTGATGTTACTATTCTTTCTGATATGTATTGACACTCTTTGATGTAATTTTGATACCTTTGGTGTATTAGTAAGGCTACACCTTCTTTGGCCCTGTTTTCTTTTGCTACTCCACTGTAGATTAGTATGTATTCACCTAATTTTGATTGACCTTTTCCTTTATTTTGTTGTTTGCAGTAGAGCACACATATCTATTTCTTTCTCTTTCAACACTTGAGTTATTTCTTGGTCCCTTGAGTTGAGTGATCTGATATTCCAAGTAATTCTCATCTGGGTTTTGGATGTTTTTCGCTTGTCCTTATTTCTTGCCGTAGTCGTCTTCATAGTATCAATCCAGTTCCGAGACTGTACATTGTTTCTTTGAGCAGTATTTGATTTTACGATTGGTAGGTTGCTAAGCAATAAATATAAATAATTAAATTTCATATTCAAATACTGCAAAATATTTGGTTATTACTCTGAGCTCATGTAAAGAAGAAAAGAAAATAATAATTCTGATTGAAATACAAAAAAAAATGTACTGGATGATTGACCAAAACTCTACGCTGTTTCTATATAATAAATTATTATTATATAAGCAAATACTGAAACAATTGTATTATTATAAAAACAGTATAAATATTTAGAAGGAAAATGGAAAATCAACAGAAAATATTTCTATTCATATAAAAATTTAATAAAATTATAGGTACTTACTGCTTATTTATATAAAATTTCCTATTTTAAATACAATAAACACACTGGTTTGTCAAAAGTCGAAATAAGCCCTAATAATGTTATTCAACTTTATTTATCCTCCTCCGAGGGTTTTACCTACCTGGCGAGAATCCAGAAGCTACCGACAAGGACACCCTGTGCTGACGGAGAGAAAATTGCATTTAGCAGAAATTTGAAATTTTTTAAAAGTTTATATCAAATAGCTGCTTTGTGTTACACTTTATGTTAAAAATAAAAACAGATTCGGAAAAAGGGTCAAATTCTGTAGTGCCCTATTTAAAAAAAAAAAAAAAATTTACGTTTATTTTAACCAAAAATATTTGAAAAAAAAATATTGTTTAAACAATTTATTAATTTACAACCAAATAGTGCACTAGAACTTTTTTAGACCTTCCATATAAAAAAAGAATCATCTCAATATCTGCTATAGTTTTTGCGTTATTTGATATAAACTTTTACATTGGAATTTACCTATGCCCAAAATCGCGAGGATCGGCCTTAAAGTTTGTTTCTATACCACAGATGGGTATGTATTTCTTTGATCGAGAGCCGCTTTAGGATATTTTGCGCGTCAAATAAACAGAATTTTTTTTTGCTCGTAATTTTGTTTATACCGAGTTGGGTGAACGATATTTAAAGATTATATTATGAGATCACTATCGGTGGAGCCGCTGTCAACGACAGTTGGTTTCGTTCGTTTTGTCCGAATTTTCATGAAATTTGTAATGGTTTTTTCGTTATTTGTTTTTTGTTATCGGAAATAGTGAATATAGCGTTAGTGATGATAGTGATTATAGCGTTATCAAAACTATCGTTCATGTGATTCGTCAGACAAATATAGGAAAATTGTAGAAATGTATATTCTATAGTACGGGTACTGTGAGGAAAGTTTTAGTACGGGTACTCTGAGGCAATTTTTTTAATTTTCAAAAAGAAAATGTTTTCTGTTTTACAGTGTAATGTAAACATAGCAAGAAAGTAAAGAATTAAAATAAAGGTTTGTAGCATAGGGGAGAATAATATTATTATATATTCCAAACCAAATAAAGGATAATTAATACAGTAAAGTATACATTTTAAATTACACAAAGAAATTGACCTAGTTAGTGCATTTTTTGATAATTGTTTAAACGTAGAAAAAGCACGTCAAACAGAAACTATTGTTGTAAAAATAACACCGCTCGTGACCCAAATAAAGCATAGGACTTACAACTCAGCGAAAACACGACCTTGGCACTATAACCGGCATTGAAAATACGAGCTCAATAAAAACAAGAAGAGCAGAGGAGTCGGGCAGTCGGTGTCTTCGGGCAGGGTTGTTAATACGAGAGTCGGCACCAGGTGCGGATTACGCGCGATTGTTATATTTCGACGGGGTATAGTTCCGTATAAGTGTCGGGTACTGAAAGAAATCCGATTTCCAGAGGAACTGAAGGGCGTATCATTAGCTAGAGCCTAAATACGCGAAAGGTAACAAAATTCTATAGACTAACCCGAGTAAATTATAGTATTGCAGATTGTCATCCCTTTTCTTTCTTGCTAAGATCTCTTCTCGTCTCCCTTCGCGCCGAACGAGTTATTATTAATTATATCTGACAGCTTGTTAACATAATTGTAAACCACATAGTATATTCAATACATTTGTAGACTCTAAAATTGGTTTTTATGTTCCTTCCGACCGATTCAGACAGAGACCAGAAGAGTACCGAATTTCGGCTTATACATTTATCTGGCTTCTAAAGTAAGCTCATACACTCAAACTCTTTACAAGACCTGAGACCTAGAAGTCCTTAACCCCTATTCCGAAGTTCCTTACCTTCTCGTAAATCCACGAAGGCGAGCAAGCCCTCCAGACTAGTGGGACCAGTATTCCTTGCAGCCGCTCGCAGGGATAAGCATCCTTTAAGGTTCATATCGAGAACATTACAGTGGTTTCAGCGGAGCCCCAGTAGTTGTACATTTGGCGACAGTGGTGCCCCCAGTACATTACATTTGGTAGAAGTCCTTAACCCCTCTCCCGCTTCCTTACCTTCACATAAATCCCACTGAACATTACATTTGGTGACAGCGAAAGCCGAAGTATTGTTATGTTTCTTATGTCTGTTAGTTTTGTGTCTTTATGTGATCAGATGTTGTAGTAAAGGCATGTTAAGGGTATTGGAATATATTATTTTGTGGTTTGAGTATTGTTTGTTTGAGATATTCTATAGGACGTACAGGCACGTTGTAGCATTTTAAATTTGATTGATTCTTTGAAGTATATTTAAAGTCGCCTCGTATATGAAATCGTCTTAATAAAACGAAGAATGTTTTCTGTTTTTTAGTTCGTATCTTTCGAAAAGTGTTTTCAATCATTCTAACGTCGTAGAGTAATAAATCCATTTAATTGTTGTTTATTTTACTGCGGCGATTTCTTTTCATGTAAATGCGTTTCAAAGGATATCTACGTCGTTCGTTGGTTTTGCTATTTCAGCAGTTCGTTGATTTTCAAGTTAAGCGAACAAATTTTTAATTTCGTCACTCTCGGTGGAATCGCTGCCAAAGTCAGTCGGTTTCATTGTTTAGTCCGGATTTTCTTTTAATTCGTTATTGCATTTTTGTTATGGAAAAATGTGTAAATAGTAGCAGTGTGGAGTAAACCGAGACAAAGAAAACAGTCAAGTTTTGGAATTGAGATTCGGAATAGCTT